AAAATTATGAAAACCAATTTAAAATCAACTAAATGTTAAAAAATATAATTGAAAAAAAAACAAAAAGGATTCAATCAAAAAAATTTAAAAGATGGAATTTAAAAAGGAGGGACTATGAACAATGAAGGAGCTAGAGGAAACCCCAACTGTTTTAATTATATTAGTTAGGTTACCTGCATAACATTGAGAGCAACCTTTCACCGTAAATTTAAAGCTATGAAATAAAAAAAACCAGGAAAGAAGTTTCCTTAATAAATATGGCTAGAACATAGGGATTAATAAGGAAAACAATAAGAGCATGATTGTATGATGATGATTCATATCAAACTAACTAAAGTTATAAGCAAAAATGTATGCAAATAGATAAAGTAACACCCAGATTTTTTATGCAAAAGTGAAGATAGACTTTAGTGATGTTGTTGTTCAACGAATACCACCCATAGTTTAGAACTAGTCATCGTGCAAAGAAGAATTGACATAAGCCTTTAGAGTGATTCTCCTTTTAAATAAATAATTTAAAATATGTGTAACACATTAATCTCTCTTATTTTTTTTCAACTAACGATAGCAATGTTAGAAGCATGTCTTTAATTAAACAACAATAACAATGATGGTAGCAGTAGAATAGCAATGAAGAAAAGGAGAGGAAGAATAAGATAGAGAGAAAAAGAGATGATCAAAGTTTGAACGCTCTGATCTCTCTTCACAAGTGACTATAGACTTCACTGTTAATGCAAAAGTGATAAGAAAAAGGAGAGCACGAACTCTATGTGCCACAAGTCATAGCATTGCAAGGGTCCATATGCTGTCACTCTTTCAATCCACATTTTAAATAGTTTTTTAGTCGTTTAAGTAGTTTCCAGTCAACTCCAGTGACTTTTGAAGGTTGATTTCAAACTTAAACCAGCTTTTTTTAATTTTCAAAATGATTTTAATGCATCGTGTATATTTGTGTTGCTATAGTTGAAGTGTTATGGGCTTGCACTTGTTACATTATAACCCTAAGGGTATGATATCACTAGGAATTTGTTTTTTTTTTTAGTGCAATAAGATTGGTAATCAATACCCTATGATGGGGTTAAAAGGGTAGGTTAATTTTACTAGCAAATTAGTATTTGTGCTTGGATGATTTTTCGTGTTTGATATTATGTATGCGCACTAACAATCTTTTGCGTGATTGTAATTTGTGTGTGGATGTTTGATTTTCTTATGCATTTGTTTTTCCTGCGGGATGCATTTTGCATATGAATGTGCATTTAAAATGTGTTTAATATGTTTTTTTAAAAATATGATCGAATCATTTTTCAAATAAAACAAAAATAAAAAATAAAAAATAAAGTTATGTGCTATTTTGATGAGCTGTGATTTTGTTATCAAAAGAAATTATTTTGTTAAGCACGGACATGGTGAATTGAAAAGTGCCTTCAGCAATACCCTCTTGATTCAATTTTTTTCATCATATAATAAAACGTTATCCTATTGACGAGATCACTATCGAAGTGACAATATATGATTTAAAAAAAAACTATCACATTTTATTTTTGTCGTTTTTATTGGTAAATGTGTTTTTAACCATTTTTGTGTATTACGACATATTATCCCTATTGTTACAAGTGGACCTGTGTTAGGTCAACTTGACCCCACGCATGACTAATGAGTATAAGAGGTGTCCTTCATGCTAATTTTGAATATACTAAAAAAAAGTGGGGCTAAAGCTCAATTTTAAATATCTATACAAGTTCAATGTCTGTTTTAAAAATGATCAAATTGATGAATCTTTTATTTTTAGAAATGAATATCAAATTTTTATTGATAGTTTAGTCAATAAGTTTTCTATTTTTAGAGATAGATGCTGGATTTTCATAAATGAACAAATCAACAAGTCTTTTATCTTTAGGGATAGATGTTAAATGTTTTGTGAAAGACGAAGTTAAGAAGTCTTTTATTTTTAGGGATCACCATTAAAAAAATTTCCTTTAATTAGAAGTAAATTAAAATAAATTGCAAAATAAAACTTAGAAAATAATTTGAAGAGAAAACACATAATAAACATGATATTTTATTTGAAAAAAATATGATATGAGTGATGTCTTGGATGTAAGTAATCTCTTACTTAAATCTTACAAAATTATTGTTTATTTTTACTATTGCTAGGTTTTTTTAGGTTACTAGGTGGATACTCTTTTTTTTTTCATTTAATATTTCAATTTATATATTGCCAGGTGGAACAATAATACAGACTTAAAATGTGGACCGTATATGGTCTATTAGATTACATGGTGACCCATGCTATTTGGTTAGTATTTGTGAGGTGTGTTATTTGGTTAGTCAAGTGTTAATCTCAATAGGAGTGACTCAAACTTTATTAAATTATAAAGAGTTTTCATTAATTCCTAAGCAGAAAAACTCAAAAAAATAATAATAATGATAATGATAATGATATCTTGAAATTGGGGTATCCTAGAAAGTAAATGAATATTTTTTTGTGGTACTCCAAAGAACTACAAAAATAAATATATAATTTTGTACTCTATGTTAAAAAATGTATTAAAAAAATAAAAATAAAATAAAAACAATTTTTAGTCCATCATGCACTACACCTAACAATAAAATTGAAATGAAAAATGAAAATAAGAAAGGAGGGAAGAAGTCCAATGATTTGTAGAACAATTCTACAATAGAAAGAAGGGTTTTTCTTTTTTTGTCTTTTTCTTTTTTCTTTTAAGAGAAGAACATTAGTTGCACTTGTTTAGTTAACTGTTAAATGCAATTATTAGATAAATTAAACTTCCATATATATATATATAATTGAAAATATAAATTAAAATATAAACTAAAAAACTCATGTAAGCATTTAATCAAATAAAATGATGATTATTTATAAATAAAAAAAGTTATTAATAATAACCAAATAAAAAAATTAAGATGAATATAGGCCAAAATATTTAATCTTGTAAGATGAGATATTTATTTATTTATGTTTATTGAATTTATTTATTAAAATCAATAAAATATAATAAAAACAAAAATAAATATAGAATTGATTGAATAAAATAAAGAAAAAATAACATTATATAAGGCCAAATATATAAGAAATATTATTTCAAAAATAAATATTTTTTTTATAAAATAAAGTTCACATGTACAAAATAAAAAGAATTACTCAAAAATTAAATACAAACAAAACTATTTTTAAAAAAAAAAATATTCAAAAAAGTCTACAAAACCCATAGCTTATGCTATGAGAATAGGATACATCAATAGAAAAAAAATTAAAAATAACTACAAAACTATTTTTTTAAATAAGATTAAATGATAAAATAGAAAAAAAAACTCATTATTCATGTCAGTATATTGGAAGTACCATAAATGAAAAAACTTAGAAGCACATTCCCTATCAAATCAAAAGCTAAAGGATAAAATAAAAAAAATCACACAAAAATTATGATTAAAAGAATGAGGGAGAAAATTGAAATAAAAATAAATTAGATGGCATAAAAATGTTTAAATTGGAGGGTTAATCTAAAAACAAATAAAATTTAACAAAAGAATAAATAAATCAAAAGAATAAGGGTTTAATTGAAAATAATAAAATAATATAAACTTTGATTGAAGGATGGAATTAAAAAACTAAAAAAACCTTTAACGAAAGAGCTAAGGGGAAAAAATCAAAAGAATAAAGATGAATTATATATATATCAATGACTAAATTGAAAACATTTAAAAAATTTATAATTGAACCAAGGATGAAAATAAACAATAAAAAACATAAGAATTAAAATTGATAAATTTAAAGATAAGAGGATAATGTGTAGTTTCTCTAGAAGAAAGGAAAAAAAAATGATCATTGGTGACAAATTAACCATCCATCGCCAAGCGTCACCTTATAAGAAAAATTACACTCATTTTTTAATGCGTGAATGACATAGATAGACAATTTTTTTTTTAATGAAAAATAATTATGCAACTTAAAAATACTAGAATGTCTTTCATGTATACGAGAATTACAAAAAAAAAAAAAAACCTATAGAAAAGTACATAAATGCCCCTAGATGCATGCCTTGCTTTTGTCTTTTCTAAGGGTATAATCATATTTTTAATATATTCTAAAATATAAAAAACTAAAAAGGCTTTTGATTAACATCTATAATTTTTTTTATTTATTTTAGAGATAAATAGATATTTTATTTATTTTAAAATTATAAAAAAAAAACTAAATCATCCTTGATTAACCATTTAAGAAATTGTTAATGGGTATATTCATATTTTAATTGTATAAAAAAATTCATATTTCAACTGTATAAAAAAAATTAAAAAATACAAACATACTTCCAAAAAAAATTTTAATGATGAATGAATCACCAGAAAAAACCAAATTAATAACCGTCGTCACAAAGACAATTTTTTTTTTTCCAAGAACAAAATAGTAATTTTACTGTAATAATTCAGAATAAAATAACAATCCAGAATAAAATATGACTTGTGATAAAGTAAAAAAAGGCAAACGTTATAGATTTCTACTTAAGATGATTGAATATGTCAAAGCTCGGAGCACGGCAATTTTCCTCCACTCTAATTTTATCCTAACGAAAATGACCAGTAACACAGCAATACTACATGGAATTTTTCTGACAAATAACACTCACGCTTTGTCTGTTTGATAAGATAGAAACAAATTTTTTTATTAATTGATCAATTGAGCTGTTTTTTCTGGTAGTTTTTTTAGTAAGAAGTTGTTTTATATCTGTTATTCCAACTGAAACTGCGTTCTACCATTGCCAAAACCAGTGACATTCCATTCATGCAGAGAACCTTAATTTAGAAAGTACCATCTGTGCACTATAAATGCTCAGCCCATGTCCCTTGTTCATCTTCAACCTCGCCGAACAAACAGAGCCGAGTCTCTGTTTGCATCATCGTTGTCTTTCTCTTCCGTCCATATTTTTCTTTCTTGTAGAAATCAGGAATCGATACAGGCCAGGGCAAGACAAAAAAAAAAAATGTTTCGTAAAGTAGTTGTTCCCGTTATTTCCCTCATTCTTGTTGTCGGTGTTGTCATTGGGGTGGTGGCTGTAGTGAATAACAGTAAGGGCTCCGATGGAGGCAAGAAAGAAGAGAGTTTGTCTCCAGAAATGAAGATAGCTACTCAGCTATGTCAACCATCAGAGTACAAGGAGGCTTGCACCGAGACCCTCAGCTCTGTGAACAGCACCGATCCTAAAGACTTTGTCAAGCAAGCTATATTGGCTGCCTCAGATGCCGTGAAAAAATCATTTAACTTTTCCGAGGATTTGGTCGTCAAGGCCAGCAAAGACAAGCGCGAGAAAATGGCCTTGGATGATTGCAAGGAGTTGTTGGACTACGCCGTCCAAGAACTTCAGGCATCAATGTCATTGGTGGGAGATAGCGATTTGCACACCACAAATGAACGAGTTGCAGAACTACAAAGTTGGTTGAGCTCCGTCTTTGCATATCAAGAAACTTGCGTCGATGGATTCAGTGATAACAGCACCATCAAGCCTACCATAGAACAAGGTTTTGTTGATGCTAGCCACCTCACAGATAACGTGTTGGCTATCATCTCTGGTTTGTCAGGCTTCCTCAAATCTGTTGGTCTCCAGTTTAACATTCCTTCTAACTCTCGTCGCCTTCTTGCCGAGGATGGATTTCCCACCTGGTTCTCTGGTGCTGATCGTAAGCTTCTGGCTGCACAAGGCAATGGTAAGGTTAAACCAAACGCGGTTGTGGCTCAGGATGGTAGTGGACAATTCAAGACCATCAGTGCTGCCATTGCTGCATATCCCAATAACCTCAAGGGACGATATATCATCTATGTTAAGGCTGGAATTTATCGTGAGTACGTTACTGTTGACAAGAAGAAGCCCAATGTGTTCATCTACGGTGATGGACCAAGGAAGACCATCGTCACAGGTAGCAAGAGCTTTGCCAAGGATGGATTGGGCACCTGGAAGACCGCTACTTTTGGTATGATAAATTTTCTTTTCTTTTTAATCTTGAACATAAATTATGCATTGTGGGTTCTTTCCATTGATTAATTTCTGCTGCTACTGCAGTGGCTGAAGCTGATGGGTTCATTGCCAAGTCAATGGGATTCCAAAATACTGCTGGTCCTGACGGGCACCAGGCTGTGGCACTTCGCGTAAGTTCTGATATGTCAGCATTCCTCAACTGCAGGATGGACGGGTATCAAGATACATTGCTGTACCAAGCTAAGCGTCAATTCTACCGCAATTGTGTTATTTCTGGCACCGTTGATTTCATCTTCGGTTATGGCGCTGCTGTGATCCAAAACTCGTTGATTGTTGTCCGGAGACCCAACGACAACCAGCAGAACTCTGTGACTGCAGATGGCAGGAAAGAGAAGCACGCCACCACCGGGTTGGTCATCCACAACTGCAGGATTGTCCCTGAGCAGAAGCTAGTCGCTGAAAGGTTCAAGATCCCAACATACTTGGGCAGGCCATGGAAGCCATTCTCCAGGACTGTTGTCATGGAATCAGAATTAGCAGATTTTATTCAGCCTGCAGGATGGATGCCATGGGCTGGAAGCATACATCTTGATACTTTGTACTATGCCGAGTATGCCAACAGAGGCGCTGGTGCAAATACCAACAAGAGGGTGAACTGGAAAACTTTCCATGTCATTAACAGGAACGAGGCTCTGCAATTCACTGCCGGCCAATTCCTTAAGGGCGCTTCTTGGATTAAAAATGCTGGAGTGCCTGTGTTGCTAGGCCTAAAACGTTGAGGAGATGCATGGTGTCTCGCCAAAAGGCTTGTAGGAGAGAGTCGAATTATATAAAGACAAGATCAACATGAAAAAATAATTGTATAATCTGAGCTTTGTATTATGAAATTGATTCGTTTCCATTTATACATATACTAACTATTATAGAGTTAGGATAGCATGCCAGCACTAGCTTCCGAGGACCTCTTCACAGTTTCATTAATTATTAATTAACTATAAACTCAAAGAAGACGCGGTTTTACTGTACCCTTCAAATTTAAATTGATTATTTTTATTTTTTATTTAATATTATATATTTTTTATTTGATTATTTCATAACCTAGATTAACCCAGATCTCAGGTTTAACAGATTAACCCAGTTGGTTCAGATTTTTTTAAAATTATTTTTTATTAATTTTATCCTTTAATATTGATTTGATTAAGAATTAAACTTCATTATTTCTTTTGTTTACTTTTTATTAGGTTATCCTGGTCTTGTAACATGAGAATAATGCTTAACAAGTCAATATGGATACTTTGATTATTTTTTATGTCTTTTATTTAATTGATCTTTTTAATTTTATAATTTAATATTAGATCGGTTGAGAATTAATCTTCATAATCTGTTTTAATTTTTTATGAGAATATCTTAGTCTCACAATCAAGGTCACTAGTTTTGACATTTTACCCCGGTTAAATCAGGTCGTATTTAAAAAAATAAAATTCTAAGAGGTTATATTGATCTCATGACTCGGGTCACGGGTCCTTCAACATTGGACTTGCTTTTTATTAAGTTATTCTTATCTCATGACCTAGATCGCGGATTTAACAGGTTAATCTAATTGACTCTTTTTTTTTTCTCTTTTTTAATTGACTTTTTTACCCCAATTTTATCAATTAATATTGTGTTTAATTGAGAATTGGACTTCATGATTTGTTTCTATTTGTTTTTCATTAGATTATCATGTTTTCATGACCTAAAAATAATATCTAATGGTTAACTTAGGTTCACTTGTTTTATTTTTAAGTTATTTTATTAATTAAGATTTTTATAAATTTCATCATTTGTTATTTTTATTAATGATTAGTACTTAAAAGTGCACATGGCGATTGAGAATGAAGTTTTATAATTTGTTTTGACTTTCTCAGACTCAAAACCAAAATAGTTGATTTAACAGGTTAACCCAGGTTAAATCATGTTATTTTTAATTGTTTTTCTATAAGATTATCTCGGTTTGATAACTCAGGTCATGGGTTTGGTGAATTGACTTAGGTTATGTTTTTATGTTTTCAATTGATTTTTTTTAATCTTATCTTTCAATATTGGGCTTGTTGGAGATTGAAATTCATAATTTGTTTCGATTTATTTTTCATGGGGTTATTTTAGTCTTATGACTCAGGTTGCAAGTTTGACATGTTAACTCAAATAGTTTTTTAGGTTTTTTTTATTAATTATTTTTTTAATTTCATCATTCAATATTAAGTTGATTAAGAATTAAGTTTCATAATTTATTTTGATTGATTTCTATAAAGTTATTATAGTCTTATAACCCGGATTGTCCCAAGTCAATTCAACATCTTATTATTTTAATATTAAAAAATATATCATCTTGAAATTCTATTTAGTCAGATATTGTTTTCACGAGTTGTATAGGTTATTTTGGATTAGTAAAGTCAACCAGGTTATGTCGGGGTAAACCCTCATTTTTTTTTCCCTCTAGAAAAAGACATCAGCAACATTTGAATATTTTTTTACATTTAAAAAAAATTAACTTGATTCAAAATACAACACGGGTCAATCATCCCGTTAATAGTCTATAATACATGTGTGTTTTGCTGTAAGAAATCAAAAGAAGATTAAGGTGTACATTTGATCTTCTTGTATAAATATGGTCACGCTGGCAACACCCATCCTCCAATTGGATCCAAAACTCAATTCAGGTTTAGAAGATCTTTGAGAATATGGTAAAGGTTGTGTTTTCAAAGTATTTTTCATTCCAAAACATATTAAATAAATATTTTTTATTTTTTAAACATTATTTTTGACATTAGTATATCAAAATAATATAAAAATATTAAAAACATATTAATTTAAAAAAAAAATTAAAGGTACTTTCCAACTATAGTGTCAAACACTCCTAAAAAGAATCTCTTTCATCTCCTTATTGTGTTGTTAGGTTTTTAGGTATCACCTTTAATGACCGAAGAAATGTATGGATTCACAATGATCATAGAGTGTTTTATACACTGTCCACTGTTTTCCCTCAAAAATGATTTGAGATTTGAATCCTCAGAGTTGTTGTTATTCTCCATAGACCTTTATAACATTCCCAACTCACTGTAATGCCTCTGAGGTTGATCTGTAGGAGGATTATTGTCAGATTTATTTGAGATTTTTTTATTTTTATTTTTGTTAGGTGCTTCATTTTTTATGATCTATAGCAGTTTTATTAAACTTCACTTGATTTGATTGGTAAATTCGGTGTTGCCTTTACTGTAGGGAAGATGAATTGAGAAATTTTAGTTTTTTTATAAAAAAAATTAAAAAATAATATTATTTTATATTTATCTAGATATATTTAGTATATAATTAGAGCTTTAAGTTGTTAATGTGTAAATTATTTTTAACATCAGCATATCAAAATAATTTAAATACACCGACAAAATATTAATTTGAAATAAAAAAACAAAACAAAATAAAATTTAAATTTTTTAAAATCTTTTTAAAATACAAAAACAAACACATTTGAACACAATTGAAAACTTAACAAAGGAGAGAATCATTTGAAACTTACTGGTTCAGATGAGGTTTGTTATTAAAACGAACTCATAATTGATCCAAGTAAACACTGTGATCTGCCTAGGTTTGGACCGACCCAATTGGCATCTTAACGCCACCAAACCTATTTCAAACACGACTGAGTTAAAAGCTAGATTATTAAAACAAAAGATTAAAATGCTTGAAACTACGCTATTTTTAATGAAAAACGAATCCCTAAAACCCTTCCCTAGCTGCCACCGATCATAGATTAATAAATAGATCATTCAATGTTAGCCAAAAATTTGTTAATCTACTTCAATACTCGATATTGCGCTGCTACCACTTGTACTGATCTTCAATCTTCAAAAATCGACATTCTTCTATATTTGACTTGCTTCCTCTTCACTGTCAACCTGCAAGGTTGTTGCAACCTTTTCACTTTTATCTAGTTTAGTACCAAGCTTAATTGTTTCTTACTGCAAGACTTGTTTAATGATTATGTAGATTTTGTTTTGTGTCTGAGGGTTTTGATATAGGTGTAAGACTAGTTGTTCATTGATGTATGTTAAGATTGGTGCCTATGGGAAGCTTATGGCATCAACATTGCATATGAAACTCTAATTTTATGTGCTCAAAATAGTCTTTCATTGTGCTTTAGTGCGAATTAGGCTTTTGGAATATTTGGGCAACTTTTTTTTTCTTAAATAAAACTGCAGGTTTTCTAAACAGAATCTTGTTGTAGAATCTAGTTGCCTAGGATGTGAAACATGAATGTAATATATATGGAGTTGATTGGCTTTATGATTTCAAGTTTTACGCCCTGAAATAAGATGAATTTTTCTAAGAGACGAATGTAATATAGTGTATCACCTCAACTCAATTAGCTCATATATTTTCAAGTTTTACACTCTAAAGATAGGTTGGATATGTACCTGTATTGTTTTCTCTTCATTTTTGTTTCCGTGTGTGTGTTATGTGTATTTTGAAGGGCGTCTGTTATCACAGTTATTAAACCTGGACTGGCTCGGCGGGTCAACCCAGGACCTGGTAGCTGGACCGGTCCGGGAAAAGTTAGAAACAGGCTTGCTGATTAATACTTAAAAGTGCATTTTTATCAAGGTTTTATATCATCATTCTGCACTTGAAGTATCAATAACTCCTTAACTAAAGCATGTTTTATAATAATATATCTAATAATATAAGATACCTTTAATTTATGGTAAAT